ACCGCCCCATTGAATTAAATTGTAAATTTACTTATTGTTGAGATTTCAAATTATCATTGAGCATGGTGGTTTTCATAAGATGGAAAAAAAAATGAAATCTTCTTTTAAATGGCATAGCATGACATTTGCATTTCATATTGGGAATCTTGCATAAATGTATATACTTTGTTAAGGATTCTCTACTGGGCTTTATGCTCACCCCTATGAGATTTTGGTGCAGGAAAGGACGTCGTGAACCTGCCAATCTAGGGCGTGGATACATGTATATAGAGCACAAGGCTCTGCTTTGTTGTGATTGTATTTTGTAAGCCTAGGGCTATAACTGTTTGAGTTCGAGAGACTATTTTTGTGTAACCAGGCTTAAACCTTGGAATTTGTAAGCCCTTGAGGGCATTTTATTTACTTTTGAATTTGACGTTCCATGTGCTATAGATTCATGTATGTAATATTATTGAATGTATAATTCGCATCTGGGACTATTTTGTACAAACTTTAATGATCAATGTTATGTTGATTTGGGAATTACTCTTATTCTAAAATGAATGTTAGTTGATGTACCTAGATTATGTTGGAGAAATTTTGGGGCATTACAAATAAGTGAAATTTAATTGAGTAGTAAGTAAAGTTTAATGAAATAGTAAGTGAAACTCATTAAATAGTAAGTACGATTTGCTTGATATTCGAGTAAGTTACAAGTAATATTTTGCAATCATGTTATAAAATTACTTGTTAAGCTTGATTTGCAGTCAGAGTCCAAGTTCCAACAAGTTCAAAGAAACCAGTCTTTTTCTCCAATGAACTAGGGTTTTGAGGTATGAAGTCTCTCTCTCTCTCTCTCTCTCTCTCTCTCTCTCAAAGTTTCTTTGTTTTTCTGAGTTCGTATAAGTCGGACTGTATGTATCTATCTATATATTATATACTTATCTTTTATTATTAATATGATTATTATCATCTTATTTTCTTCTTCTTCTTCTTCTTCTTATTCTTCTTTTTCTTCTTCTTTTTCTTCTTTATTATTATTATAGTTTCCATATTGTTGTATCTATAGTTTTTGTATGTATCTGTCTAGTATTATTGTATTTATAGTTTCTGTATGAATCATTCTAGACTTATATTTTATTAGTATTATTATTAATTTATTATTATTGTGATGCATCTTATTTTCTTCTTTATTATTATTATTATTATTATTATTATTATTCTTTTCATTTATTTTTTTTCACCTAACTAGTAACTTTTTCTCTTTTTGTTTTTTATTTGTTTATTTTTTACATGGCTATAAAAAAAATGAGTGAATCTAAAGGCCAAAGAAAAGATTTTGTCTGGAAGTACACAAGAGGTTGATTGGGAAAAATATTTTGGATGTAAGTTTTGTGATCAAACTTGTAGTGGGACTGTAAGTCGATTAAAAATCCATCTAACTAGCACACGTAAAGGCATTATATTGTGTTCAAAAGTTCCTGATGATGTAAACAAAAAGTTGCTCGAAATGAGAAGCCATTTGAAATTGGGATGGGTATAAGAGGGAAGGGTGAGAGTGGTGCTTACCAATCTATTGAAGGTGATATTGGTTCAGGTACACAACCACCAAAACCGAGGAATTCAATGGATGGGTTCGCTAGTTCTGAAGCATGACAAGATACGTTGAACTCCAAATGGAAATTAGAAGGAAGAAAATGTATGCCGAAAGATTGGGCATTTTATATTTTGTAAAGCTCTTCCATTTAATTTAGTAAATGATCCATGTTGGGTAGCTACAATTGATGAAATTGCTAAATATGGACCTAATTTCAAACCCCCTTTTATGCATGAATTGAGGACTTGGATTCTTAAAGCAGAAGTAGAAGACATAAATGTCATGATGGAGGAACATAAGAAAGCATGGAAACAATATGGATGCTCAACTATGTTTGATGGTTGCACAAATGGCAAAAGTAGAGTTCTTATCAATTTTCTTGTGAATCACCCTGTTGAAACCTGGTTTCTAAAATCAGGGTAGTTGATGTTTAACTATCTCGATAGTGTCATAGATGAAATTGGGGAAGATAATGTTCAAGTTATTACTGATAATGCCTCAAACTATGTCAATGCTGGGTTGAGGCTTATGGATAAAAGGAAGATGTTGTATTGGTTTGATGTTGTGTTGGTTTAATGTTGGAGGACATTGAAAAATTGGAAGTTCTTGACCAGACTCTTTTAGGGATGGCAATTAAACCCGACCCGACGAGGACCCGGCCCCCCGACCCCAATTAGAATGGTTTTTCTCCAAAAAAAAAACCTCTGACAGGCTGGGGATGGTATTCGAAAATGAACCCCCGACAATTTTCGAGCTAGGGATGGTGATAGGTTCTCCGGCCCCGGCCTCGGCCCTATTTCTGCCCCGAACTAAAATTATTATTTTTTGGATTTTTTTTTGGTTGGACATTTGAGAATCGGGATATTATGTTGCATGGATTATTTTAAGGGGACGAACCCATGGAATATCTTGGAGAGATGCCTATTAATTTTAGAAGTTAACTTAGCTAATAATGTTGGTTGTGCATGCTACTTTACAAAATTCACAAGTGATTTTTTTTCTTTTTTTAAAAAAAAAAAGAATAAAAAAAACAGGTGTTGTTTGGATTATTTATTTATTTATATTTTATTTTATTTTTTGTTGTGGTGTGGGTGTTGTTTTGTATCTTGTTTGTCATGTTGTTGTTTGGATGTTTATGTTTTAACATTGCGGGATTATGCTTTTATATATATTATTTTTATTTGCCTCAACAAAAGAAAATAAGAAATAAAATGGGATATGCAAAATTCAAAAACAAAAGGAGTCGGGGATTTTTCGGGGTCGGGGAAACCCGATCGCCGTTAGGGGCCGAATGTGGGGAATTTTGTACATTTGGGGATCGAGAACAATTTTGTACATTTGCCATTCCTGGACTCTCTTGATGGGTAGGCAAGTGGTCAAGTTTATATATGGACATTATAGGGTTGATTCATTGATGAGATCCTTTACGAAGAACAATAAACTAATCCATCCAGTAGTAACACAATTTGCTACTGCTTATGTTATATGGACTCGGGTATGAGTATCGGTGCGGTTGTGTATCCAAGCATCATACCTTCATAAATTTAAATCTTAGGATCTTGGGATACGTATCCAAAATTGGATATGGGTACGGGGACATATCATATGCACATATATATTGATGTTGTAAATTATGTAGAAATATATTAGAAATTAAATAGGATTCAGGAAAAATATGAAATTTCTATATCTAGTTCATGTGGGAGACTAAAAATATTGCTTTAGTTCCTGTATAGTCACAAATTAAAGGATCTGAGTGTCTAAATTGGGTACGAGTGTCTGACACATATCCCACATCCATACCCATGTCATATTGGGTGGACAAGAGTACTGTGGGGGAAATAGAAGAGTCCATGTAACATAGGCCACTACTTATTTTACTCTACAAAGTCTTTACAAACAAAAGCAACCGCTCTAGGCTATGCTTTCTTCAGAAAAGTGGGCTTCTAGTAGTTGGGCAAGAAAGGTTGAAAGGGTCAAACCTTGTGCAACTGTGTTATTTGATCCAAAATTTTAGCCTAATGGTGCTTTCTGTATCAAAAGCACAATACCTTTGGTTAGTGTTTGCAAGAAGTTGATTTAAAGGAGAGGCCTGCTATGGGTTACATTTATGAGTTGATGGATTCGACTAAAGAGAAGATTGCTTTTGATTGTAGATGAAATGCTAGGAAGTATGGACCAATTTTGAATAAGATAGATGCAAGGTGGACACCACAACTGCATAGACACAGTTGTTGGTTATTATCTAAACCCTTGCACTATCGAGATAGCTTCTCCAGTATTAAGGAGGTGAGGCAAGGATAGTAATAGTTAATGAATAAATGTTGAGTTATGAAAAGTGTCTCAAGGTTGATATCTAATTGGACTATTATGACCAAGCAAAAGGGAATTCGGAAGTCGTGTAGCTATTGATTCTAGAGCGATACGCTCTCCTGGTAAACTAATATAAAGATAATTTTCCAATTATGATATAGTAACGGTAGAGGGAAATGTTAGGGGAAGGGGCAAACCTAGATTGATGTAGGCTAGTGTAGTATATAGAGATATGAATCTCTTTAATTTGACTAACCAAATGACCTTTGATAGAGTAGAGTGGAGAAGATGGATTTATGTAGCCAATCCCATTTGATGGTGCTTAAGGCTTGATTTGGTTTATTCTTTAAAATTAAAATACGAGATTGAAATCAATTGTGCATTTTTCAAATTATGTAGCTAATTGGTGTATTCGTTTTGAGAGCAAAACACCAGAGTTAACAAAATTTTCCATTCGAGTTCTTAGTCTAACTTGTAATGCTTCAGGATGTGAGAGGAATTGAAACACCTTTGAGTCGGTAATAAATCCTTCTTTCCTAAACTTTCTTATGCATAAAATAAAATATTCATAGTTCTAATTTGTTATACTTCGTTGCTTATATTATTGATATAATATTATTATATTAGATTCATACAAAAAAAAAGAGAAATAGTCTTGAGCACAAACATTTGAATGCTTTGGTGTATGTGAAGTACAACACTAAACTAAAAGAGAGGAGTATCAAAAGAAAACCAAACGTTGATCCAGTTAAAACTGGAGCATAACAATTTGAGAGAGAGAGAGAGAGAGATAGAGAGTTGTTAGAAAAGGAGGCACAAAACCTCATTAGGTTTCTTACCTCACTAAGCACTTGTATTTGTTATAAGAGAATAAGTACAGTGACACTAATACCATTAAGCATAGAACTTAACACCCCTCTCAAGTTGGTACATAGATGTCTCTCATACCCAACTTGCATACAATAAGATGAAACACTTTACTCTTTAACCCTTTGGTAAACATATCACCTAATTGATTTTTAGATGTGACAAAAGAAAAACAAATGATGGCATTAGTCACTTTCTCCTTGATAAAATGTCGATAAATCTCGATGTGCTTAGCTCTATCATGCTAAAATGGATTATGAGCAATGTTAATAGCGGCCTTATTATCACAATATAGTTGCAAGGGACCATCACTCAACAATCCGAGATCAACCAGTAAAATTTTAAGCCACATCAACTCACAAATGCCATGCGCCATGGCGCGATACTCTACACTCGATCTGGCAACAACTGACTGCTTCTTACTACGCCAAGTCACCAAATTCCCTCCTACAAATGTACAATAACCAGTGGTAGACCTTTTAACACCAGTCCAATCTGCATCGGTAAAGGTCACCTTAGAGAACAAGATGCCTTTTCTAGGCACTGATTTAAGATACCTTAAGATCCTATGAATGACATCCAAATGCCCCGTCCGAGACCAACGACATATGTAATATTTGGCTGGTATGAGAGAGGTAAATCAGTCTTCCCACAAGCCTTTGATATCTCCCATTGTCTACATGATTTCCGTCACTACTGAGCCTATGATTAGCCTCTATAGGAGAATCAGCCGGTCTACACCCAAGGATGCCTACTTCCTCAAGTAAGTCCAAGATATACTTCCTTTGAGAAATGAAGATGCCTCTCTCTAATCTAGCAATCTTAATCCCAAGAAAGCACCGCAAGGGATCAAGATCTTTGATTTCAATTTCCCTGGAAAGTTGAGCTTTGACTTTAGACATTTCCTTTGCATCAGTGTCTGTCACCACAATGTCATCCACATACACGATAAGGATAATGATCTTAGCTCTACATTGTTTGATGAACAAAGTATGATCTGCATGGTTTTGCTTATAGCCACATCAGAGCATCGCCTTAAGGAACTTGTCAAACCAAGCTCGAGGGGATTGTTTCAACCCATACAAGGCCTTTTTTAACCTGCAAACCTTCTCGTCAGTGGCTGGAGAAGAAAAACCTAGAGGAACATCCATATATATTTCTTCCTCGAGATCTCTATGAAGAAATGCATTCTTCACATCCAATTGCTATAATGGCCACCCCAAATTTGCTGCACAAGAAAGAAGGACACTAATGGAATTCATCTTGGCCACTGGAGCAAAGGTCTATTGATAGTCAATACCATATGTCTGAGTGAACCCTTCAGCAACTAGCCTTGCCTTATATCTCTCAATAGTCCCATCAACTTTCTGCTGTGAACACCCATTTGCACCCTGCAGTCCCTTTCCCGATTAGTAGAAAAACTAAATCCCGAGTAGCATTCTTACTCAGTGCTTGCATCTCCTCTACCATAGCTTCTTTCCACTTATGTTGTGTTTGGTTGGGAGATTTTGGGAGAGATTTGGAAAGGGAAAGGAAAAAGGTGTGTGAAACTAGGTGAAATATAGGTATATTTTATTCACATTTCACCTACCTTTTCCATTTCTCTTTCTAAATCCCTCCTCAAATCCCCCAACCAAACACATCATTAGGATCACTAAGAGCTTCCTTCCAACCCTGTGGAATAGATATAGGGGACAAAGATGAAACAAAGGCATGGTACGATGAAGATAATGAATCATATGACACGAAATGAGATATGGGATGTTGATTACAAGTTCTAACTCCTTTCCTAAGAGCAATGGGAAGATCTGTATCATCAACTTTATGAACATCACTAGAGGGACAGAAGAATTAGTAACCAAGGACTCATTACCTGAAACCGGAGATGAAGATGATGAAACTGGAGACGAAGATGATTAGCCTGGCAGCACATCTGGCACTTGTTCCTTCTATCACCGATATGAGCATCACTAGAAGGGACATGAGAATTAGTAAACAAGGACTCATTACCTGAAATCGGAGACGAAGATGATGAAACTGGAGACAGAGATGATTGGCTTGGTAGCACATCCGACATTTGTTCCTTCTGTCATCGAGAGTAGGTCTTGAGATCTGTTTTATCCAACCGACTAAGCTCCCCCTGATCACAAGACTCCCCCTGAACATAAGGAATCACCTCCCTCATCACCACTCACTACATGGCTCACTCTTTCTCTCACAACTATTGGAAGGAGAAACCATAGAATCCAGGAAACCAATCTCTTCTAGAATAGAAACCTTTCCTTGAAGAGAGGATCCTGGGAAGAATGGCTAAGACTCACAGAAGGTAACATCCATAGAAACATAAACCTTGCAAGTGTGACGGCCATAACACCGATAGCCTTTTTGGGTAGAGGAATAATTGAGGAAGAGACACTTTAGGGCCTTAGGATCAAGTTTTCTGTGAATGGAACGAGGGGAATGGACAAAGCTAACACCAATGTTTTGAAAAGCATGCCTAAGCTCGGGGTGAGGCGAGGCACAACACAACTTTGCACCTCATGCATGGCGAGACGAGACGACATAGAGGAGGCGCAGTCGAGGCGATGAGGCAAGCTCTTTATGTTGAAGCTCGAGGCGAGCTCCTTATGCGCTTCGCATTTCTTCCTCTTGTTGCTACTTGTTGCTTTTGCTAGTCTCTGCTTGCTTGCAGCTTGCTGCTCGTTGCCCGTTGCTCTCTTGTTGGTTAGTGCTCGATTCTCTTCTTCTTCATTTGATCTTCTTCTTCTTCTTCTTTCCTCTGTCTCTCAGTCACTCTCTCTCTCTCTTCTTCTATTTTGTCCTATCCTCTCTTTGACTTTTCTTTCTTTTGTCTTTCTTTTCTTTTATGTTGGCTGATTCTAACCCCCTTCTCTCTCTCTCTCTCTCTCTCTCTCTCTCTCTCTTCTATTTTAATTTTTATTTTTCTTCAATTTTTTTGGCTTTTCTATCTTATTTATTTAATATATATATATATATATATATTGCTGATTAGTTTATAAGAACAATTTTTTCTATTAATTTTAATGATATGTGTTTATTAATTTTATGTGGATGATCTTAGTACATAAGGTTTTTGGTGGATGTGAATGTGATACTTTATACATTTTGTTGGATATTATATTTTTAATATACTACATATATTTGTTATGTTAAAAGTTTTCCCATTTTATAATTTTGCTTTGCTTTTTTACTAGGTACGCCTCACCTCACGCCTTGCGCTTAGGCTATAAGAGACCTTATCGCCTCGGTGCGCTTGGAGCCTTTTAAAACATGGGCTGACACAACCAAAGACCTTAGGTAGAAGGGAAACAAGGTGAATAGACATGCAGGGAAGAAGGTCAAGAGGACGTTGAAAATGGAGGACACTTGAAGGCATCCGGTTAATAAGATATGTAGCAGTAAGAACAGCATCACCCCAATGAGGTTTAGGGACGTGCATCGTGAACATAAGAGCACGAGCAGCCTCAAGAAGATGACGGTTCTTGCGTTCAGCAACACCATTCTGTTCAAGGGTACCAACACAACTGGTTTGATAAAGAATGCCACGGGCTTCAAGATAAGCCCGAAAACACACTATTAATATATTCAGTGCCATTGTCACTCCAGAGGACTTTAATAGGAGTAGCAAATTGAGTAAGCACCATCTTATGAAATGTCTGAAAACATGAAAAAACTTCAATTTTGGTCTGGAGCAAGTAAACCCAAGTCACATGAGAATAGCAATCAATGAACGTGACAAACCACCGATAACCAAAGACAAACAAAACATGAAATGGACCCCAAACATCAGAATGAATAACCATGAAAGGAAAAAGACTTCTTTTATTAATAGGAGGATAACAAAAACGTTTATGTTTAACAAACTCATAAGGATCACAATGAAAATTATTCTTATGACAATCTTTTACTAAAGTAGGAAAACATTTCTCTAAAATAGAAATAGAGAGATGTCCTAAACGCCTATGCCACTGATGTAACAGAAGAAGGGCAGAAGTGTTAGTCACTTGAAGAGCCTAGTGAGAAGATCCAAGGGAAGAAAGTCCAGCATCCAAAAAGTACAGGCCCTCATATGCTTTACCACTACCAATCGTTCTCCTGTACCTAATTCCTGAAAAACACAATGAGAGGGATAAAAGGTTATGGAACGATTTAGTGAATTTGTAAGATGACTAATAAAAAGTAAATTAGAAGAGCACTGGGGAACATGAAGAACATGAAATTGAAATGGAGGGAGAGCAATGAACAGAACCTATCCTAGACACAGAAGATAAAAACCCATCAGTAACTCTTACTTTATCCTTGGCAGAACAACGAGAGTAAGAGTGGCAAAGTGAGACAAACTTGCCATGTGGTCAGTAGCACTGGAATCAATGACCCAAGGATATAAAGGGGAAAAAGAAGCACTCAAGGAACTCGTAGGAATCAAGCCGGGCCATCAGACGCTTGAGAGTGTGCAACTCATCATGGGAAAGGGTTGCAGAATCTCTCAGGGAGCTAGCCGACAAAGAGATTGGCATGAGACCGAACAGAGCCACCACGGCCACTAGTACCACCATAGGCACTATCCCACCCTTGAAGAGGACAGCCATGCAACTTCTAACAATATTCTTGACCATGTCGGCCTTTTCCACAATAATCACATGTAATCTGACTACGATCAATACTACAACCTTTACCCCCAGACTTGGAGAGTGAGCCATCCTTCGAAGCAAAAGAAGCAACCAAGGCAGAGTGATCCTGGAGAGGCTGATGAACCATAGCACTACACCTACTCTCTTCCTACTGAACATAAGCATATGCCTCACACATAATGGGGAAAGGATCTCGGCCAAGAATTTGAACACAAATCTGATTATACTCAATGTTAAGGCCATTAAGAAAATCATAGACCCTCTCCTTGGATACCATCTGTTGAAAGGTAGAAGCATCTTGAGAACAAACAGCCTGGAAATTATGATAATAGTCAAGTTCTTGTCACAAGCTAATTAACTCAGCATAGTACTCAGCAAGGGACCTGTCCTTCTGATCAAGCCCTCGTATTTTCTTTCGCAAATTGTTACCATGCTGGGAATACATCTGAGCAACAGCAGTCCATATCTCATGGTCAATATCCATTAAAACAAAGGAGAGACTACTACTGGGATGAATAGAATTAATGAGCCAAGTCATGACAAGAGCATTCTCCTTAAGCCATTTTTCTTAGGTTGGTCTATTCTCCTTGGGAGCTTTGGTAACTCCCTTGATGTAACAAGGCATGCCATGAGCAGTAATGATAATTGAAAAGAACACAACCAAACCAACTAATTAGTGCCATCCAACTTGACTAAGCTGAAGAGATGAGTTTTCACCAAGAGAGACATTGGGACTGGACTCTTCACCTCATTGCTTACAAGGGTCTTGCTATCATCAGCAATAGTGTAACACAGTGTGAGCACACCCAAAGAATGATACAACCATAACCCAACAACAGCAAAATAGGGCCAAAAAACCAATCACACTGAAGTAGAAGACCAAAAACAAGCAGGTGGAGACCTAAAATGATCAACCAAAGCATTGAATAGCCAAAAAACATTCAAACACCATCTAGAAACATCAACCTATGCCAAAGGAGGCCAGGGAAGCCCTGGTCTGCTCCTAGAGGAAGCAGTCCAAGGGTTGAATTGAACCAAAAACAGCCAGAATGAAGAAGAAAAAAAAATAGGCCTATGTTTCCAAAAAAATAAAGAAACATTGGAAAAACTAGGCAACCATGAACAAAAAATTTTGAAATTTTTTATGGATACTCCCTTACCCTAGTGAAGCATGGTAGGAATTTTTTTTTTTTTTTTTTTTACATTATTCGATAAGAACATCTAATGTACGAACAAAACAAAAAATAATCCTCAGAAATAAAGAAAAAAAATAGAAGAAGAAAGAATAAGAACCTGCTCTGATACTAAGTTAAAAGTGGAGCATAACAATTGAGAGTGAGAGAGAGATTGAGAGAGAGAGAGAGAATTGCTAGAAAAGGAGGCACAAAACCTCTTTAGGTTTGTTACCTCACTAAGCACTTGTATTTATAATAATAAGAGAATAAGTACAATGATACTAATACCCTTAAGCACATAACTTAAGAAATCGAATACTAATTGATTCGGATGATGAATGGATTGCTATAAAAGAAGATCTTGTCCTCCCTTTTGATGCTTCTTGGCTTGATGAAGAAGAACTGTTCAATGCTGATGTAATTAGGACTGTGCCTGTCACTACCTGTGACAGAAATGTGGAGACTAGATCAACTATGACTACGATTGATGTTGACTGATCTTCGACTACAAAGAAAATAAAAGTTGGTGAAGGTTCGATTAAGTTAAACAATTATGGACAAGTTGCATATATATTATTATATGTGCCTCTTTAATTAATTCAAAATCCTATTTCTTGTATAGGAAATGACCAAGGAAAAGGGAAGGTAGCGAGATGCACCCTTGTTGATGAAGATATTGAGTTGGAAGAGGTTGGTGGAATAGATGATGGAAACTATCCCATTATAGATATAGCAAACGAAGATGATGATTGAGAGGGTAATTTATATGTAAATTGAGCCGAGCTGGGTGATGGGCCGTTCTATGGGCCACAGTAAAAAGGGCTGAGTAAAAAAGCTTTGTAGTTAGCCCGGTCCAGAAAGAGCTTTGTAGTTAGCTCGGTCACTACGGTCTGAGTAGTAGCAGTTAGCTCGGTTATAGCACTAAGAACCGGGGTATTTTGGGCTTTTACTCAGAACCTTGCTATTAAATAGCTCTGTCCAAGCACATTGTGCATAGCGCAGTCTCAAGAATTGAAACCGAGGTACAAGTTGTAAAAGGAAGAGCTGAGCTAGTCAGAACTCGGTCAATTCTGCCAGTCTAGCACGGTTGTTTCAGCTCGGTCGTTTTGTCATACGACCGAGGTATAACCATCTCACTTGGTTTAAGCAGTGAGGGGGGTGTTGAAGGAAAAGTATTATCTTTCAGGAGTGTGATCTCTAGGAGGACTCTACGTGGAGGAATAAGAGTCCTACTAGGATTGTGCCACACGGAACCTATAAAAGCTCACAACATCACCTATGGAGAGGTAACATAACTTTGATGCCTGAATTCATAGAGTTTTTGTGTCTATTGTCTATTGTGCTGACTTAGGCATCGGAGGGGTTTCCAGCATACACCTGCCGGTTAGCTCATGTTTGTGTTCTCAGGTGGCAAAGCGACGACGTTTCGAGGAGCGCAAGCTTGATCAACAGGATCATACGAAAAGAATTATTTAGTGCTCGTACAATTGGCGCCGTCTGTGGGAATCACAAGAAGAACAAAACCTCTTGATCAAAGTTTTCCTTGCTAGATTAGATGCAATGGCACACAGTGAAGATTTGCCGCAGTCCACCATCGACGGACAAACCCCAGAGGGGGGTGGGAGGCACGAAGGTTTGCCTTCTATCCCTCCCATGGCAGATTTAGAGCCCCAGCTACAGAACCCCCGGAGGGATGCAAGGGGAAGGCGGGGTAACAGCCCCCGTCACTCTCAAAGCCCCGAAAGGCAGAGGCAGAGGATTGACCCTCAGGTTCTAGAGGATTGCGTAAAGGAACAGAATGAGTTGATATGAAGGATGGCGGCGGACATGGAGTTGATGAAGCGCCAGATAAAAGGAAAAGGGACAGCGATAGGAGAGGGGCGCAAAGACAGTACGCCCCCTCGCCACTTGGAAGGTCATGGTAGACACACCACGCCATCACAAGCAGAGAGTAGGAGCCTTAGAACAGGCGACACTCAAATAAGGACGTCCAGAACTTGTTACTCCAAGTCTGAGAGAACAAGAACTGAGAGGTCATATACTGAAGGAAGCACCTATCAGCCCTCGCGCACGCACCAGACGTCATCCAGGCAGACGAAGTTGCCCAGATCGTCTGATTTGCGAACTGTGCTTAAAGAAAGGGCATGGTGGAAGGAGGATGCCAGGGCACGCGACCTGTGCAGAGTTTTAGCCCTTCAGCGGTTGGCTTCTTGGACGCATGGGAGCGTCGAGGTAGGAATGCCAATACCGCACCTTGCCTACGAACCAACAGATAAAGCATTGGCAAGGCTACATAGCTCGTCGTTCGTTCCGGTGATTGAGATCACACCATTACCTTCAAGCTTCATCCAGCCTAAACTTATGACTTACGAGAGGAAGACAGACCCCTACATGCACCTAAGCCACTTTCGCCAGGTCATGGCAATATACCGGCGGAACAAGGCTTTGATGTGCATCCTATTCCCATCCAGCCTTGGCGACCTAGGTTTAACCTGGTTCGAAAGGCTACCAGAAGGCAGCATAGCCTCCTGGACGCAATTAGCGGAGGAGTTCGTGACTAGGTTCCGAACAAACACCAAAACGCTAGTGGAGATCAATCAGCTACTCTCTATTGACATGGGCGACAATGAGACGCTGAGATCCTACAATAGTCGCTACTGGGAGACCTTCAACTGGATAGAAGACTGCCCCGCCAATCTTGCCATCGCGCAGTACAAAAGAGGGCTACCAGTCGGAAACAAGTTGAGGGAATCAATCACAATGACGGCCCCCCTCACGATGGAGGCCTT